CGAGGTGGGTAAAATGAGGACCCAGACTGTGGGGGGGCGATATACTGACTCTGTAAACCGCTTAGAGAGGGCTGAAAGCCCTATGAAGCGGTATATAAGTCTAACTGCTATTGCTATTGCTATTGCTAAGGGCTATTGCTATAATTACTGCAGAGATTCACTTAGCAACTGTGGCAAGAACGGTCATAAAAGGGAGCAAAATTCACTTAACAACAGTCTTGCTTAGCAGCAGAAATTTTGGGCTCAATTGTAAGTGGAGGGCTAACCTGTAGTTTTTGGTCACCCCTCTTCCCTGACCTGATCTATCTTGAAGAGCTGATGTCCAACCCTATATAGGAGAAATCGGTGTTAATGCCACATTTTGTTTTACGCAGGCAAACTTTTTTCTAGTGGGGGTTTCAGACTCACGAGAGAACCAGAAAGACTGAACATTCATTTCTCTGCAGTCGTCAGGGTGACAGAATTAGGTCTCTTTGTTTCTGGACCGTTGGTCAGTTCGGAAAGCAACATGGGGCCTTGGTGTCACGTTGCATTTCTCCTGACAAACTTTGAGGTTTTGTTCCGCCCCCATCGATCTTGCTTTGGCAAGCTCACCTCAACCGAGAAGAGAGTGTGGGCCGAGCTAACCTTGGTGCAGTTATCTGTCTCGGTTGCCGTTTTTAATCTTGTTATTTTGAACGCTGGAACGGTGCAGCAGATTGCAAGCCGGCTGCCTAGTCTGCTGCTCATGTTTGGGAGTTGGGTTTTTAAAATATCTATTTTGAATGGGTACATTTGGGTTTTGGATGCAGAATACATCAGGCAGGGAAACCGAGTGTGTTGATAGAACAGGAATAAACATAACCACATGGCTTTTGCACCACGTTTTCACCGGGTTTTCCTTTGCGGAGAGCTGTGCCGTGCTAACATGTAATTTTGGGTGGTTTCCTTTATTAGCTAGTTAGTTAGTTAGTTTGTCAAACATGTACAAGATAATAGGTATAAATATAAACATGAACAAAGGAAATGAGTACAAATAAATGGGGATGGTAGGACAGGGACGGTAGGCACGCTGGTGCGCTTATGCATGCCCCCTTTTACGGACCTCTTAGGAATGGGGTGAGGTCCACAGTAGACAGTTTGAGGTTGAAGCTGGGGGGGTTTGAGATTGTAACAACAGAGGCAGGTAGAGCATTCCAGGCGTTGGCCACTCTGTTGCTGAAGTCGTATTTTTTGCAATCGAGCTTGAGTTTGTATCTATTGTTTGTCCGTGTATTATTGAAACTGAAGTAGTCGTTGACAGGTAGGACGTTGTAGCAGACAATTTTGTGTACTATGCTTAAGTCAGACCACAGGTGGCGCAGTTCAAGGTTGTCCAANAAGGAAGGAAGGAAGGAAGGAAGGAAGGAAGGAAGGACAGACTTGCAGCTAAAACAACATGTGGACATAGGCAGTGTGTAGGCTGGGGGTTGTTTGGCAAGCACCAAATCCAGCTTTTCATCCCCTCCTCTTGGTGCAGTTTAGGAGAAGGGCATCTGAGCATCCATCTACCCTAATAAGAACAAAACCATGTTAAATCTCCTTTATGCGACTAAGGCCTTTGTGACGCTCCTGACACGTATTAATTATGTGCTCTTTGGAGGTGGTGTTTTGTCTTTTTTGTATGCAGGGCAAACAAGCTTCCTTAAAAGAACAGCTAATTTGTCTTCTTTATCAGGCCCACAGTCAGGAATGGGAGGAGGGACGGGTGGGGGAGCCACGGAGGCCTTGCCAGACAGCCAGGGAATAAATGGAGGCAGCTGGATTGCACTGGAAAGTGGATGGACGATTTGTACTACTAATACTTAAAATGCCACTCATTTGCTTGCCTTTCATTGATCAGAATTTTAGAAGGCAAGGGAGTGTCTCCCCGTTAGCGGCAAAGTACCACTTGGGTTCTTTTTCAATAGAATAGAATAGGAATAGGACAGAACAGAATAGCAGAGTTGGAAGGGATCTTGGAGGTCTTCTAGTCTAACCCCCTGCTTAGGCAGGAAACCCTACACCACTTCAGACAAAATGGTTATCCAACATCTTCTTAAAAGCTTCCAGTGTTGGAGCATTCACAACTTCAGGAGGCAGGTTGTTCCACTGATTAATTCTTCTCACTGTCTGGAAATTTCTCCCGAGTTTTAGGTTGCTTCTCTCCTTGATTAGTTTCCACCCATTGTTCCTTTTTTTTTGTTCCATTCATTGTTTGTAAAAACTCTAGGAGTTTATCCTTCTACTCTTTTTTCCTTTGGTATTTTACTTTCTTCAGTATGGTCTTCCTTCCAATTTCTCCCTCACGGTCATTGTCCTAGCTATGCACTTCCCATTTTACTAGGTCATTCAGAGGCCAAGATTGAAAGAGTTGAGCCCGATATATTTTATTAGCATTTGTTTTCTAATATCTTTCTCCACCTTAGAGATATCAGAATTGGAAGGTGCAGTCTTTTCCCCTGCAGAATCTACCACTGAGCTATTTTGGGTGGGTGTGCAAACACTCAAGATTGCACCTTCAAGTGGTACATTCCATAAAGCATTCTTCTACTTGATAGTGCTGGAAATTGTTTTCCTTGATATTAAGTTGAATGAATGAATGAATGGTTTCTTCAGTTTTTCGATTGTTGTTTCCAGCCCTACTCTCAGGCCAATCCGCCTCCTCCACCAGCTCTCTCCCCAACACAAATGACGTCTGGCATTCCCATCTTGGAACCCCAGCGCCCACCACACGATTACCTTCCCATCGCTGTCCTCACCACCATATGCTGCTTCTGGCCCACAGGGATCATTGCTATCATCAAGGCTGTGCAGGTGAGTGAGTGCAGGTTACTACCGATTCTGTAAGTGTGGCTTGGTGGGCATGGCTTGGGTGTGGCAGGGGAAGGATACTGCAAAATCCCAATTTCCTCCCAATCAGCTGGGACTCGGGAGGCAGAGAATAGATGGGGGCGGGGCCAGTCAGAGGTGGTATTTACCGGTTCNATCATCCCTATGATCATATGATCAAAATTCAGGTGCTTGGCAACTGGTTCGTACTTATGACCGTTGCTGTGTCCCAAGGTCACACGATCCCCTTTTGCAACCTTTGGACAAGCAAAGTCAATGGGGAAGCCAGATTCACTTAACAGCTGTATTACTAACTTAATCACTACAATGGTTCACTTAACAATGGTGGCAAGAAAGGTTGTAAAATGGGACAAAACCCACTTAACAAATGCCTCAATTAGCAATGGAAATTTTGGGTTCAATTGTGGTTGTAGGTCGAGGACTACCTGTATTAATTTGGGACTTTCTTATAGTCCTTGACTTAAGACCACAATTGGGATCAGGATTTCCATTGCTAAGCAAGGTGGTTGTTAAGCGAGTTGTGTCTGATTTTATAATCGTTAAGCAAATCACTGCAGTTGCTAAGTGAATCATGTGGTCATTAGGCGAATCTGGCTTCCTGCATTGGCTTTGCTTGTCGGGAGCCAGGGACACTGCAGCTTTTGTAAATTCAGGTAGTCCTCGACTTATGACCATAATGGAGACCCAAACTTCTGTTGCTAAGCGAGACATTTGTTAAGTGAGTCTCGCCCCATTTTACAACATTTCCTGCTACAGTTGTTAAGCGAATCACTGCAGTTCTTAACTTAGTGACACGGTTGTTGAGTGAATCGGGCTTCCCTACTGACTCTGCTTGTCCGAAGGTCACAAAAGGGGATCGTGTGACCCCGGCCCCCCCCCCGGGACACTTCAATCGTCATAAATATGAATCAATTGCCAAGTGTGTGAATTTTGATTGCGTGACCATGAGGATGCTGCAACGGTCTTAAATCAGAGCTGTTGTCATTTCGAATGATCACTAAACAAACTGTTGTAAGTCGAGGACTACCTTTATGTGCCAGTTGCCAAGTCCCTGAATTTTGATTATGTGACACTGAAGATGCTGCAATTGTTGCAAATTGTTGTGGGGACTTGTTATAAGTGACCCTTTTTAATGCCTTTGTAACCTTGAAAAGTTGTTAAATGAATGGTTTCAAGTTAAGGACTGCCTCTTTATCCTGCAGATACGAGTTAGTGCAGAAGTAATGAGAACTATGATTCCTTGAGCTATCACTCTGGTGATCTTATGCCTTTATTAGGAAGGACAGGGAGAAAGGAAAGGGAATAACCATACAAATTTAAAGTGACAGGAGAAAAAAAAATGCAGCAAACACATTTATAAGAAAAATGACCTCCGATGTTCTTTTATGCCAAAGAAAATAACCGTACAGCAACCTCTCTCTAAATTTAAATAGCTAATAATCCTAAAATCCTAAGAATCAGCATTCTAAAATGCCAATATTAACATGTTATTTGCTTAACTTTAATCTAACAGGCATTAAATCATTAAATATAAATAACCTTACGTTTAAAAAGCTATAATATTACTCTGATCCAATCCAAACTAATCTTCAAATTCTGAAGTGTCAAAATGTGATTTTTCTCCTTATTTGTCTACGAAATCAGACTGTGGTCTTCAAGTCACAAGAAATTTAATCCAATTATTGTCTCTAAGCAAAGCAATCAGTTTTGCTATCTTGGCTAGCTTCGTTAGTTTCAAAATCCATTCTTTCAATGTGAGTGCAGAATAAGAAAGTTGGAAGGGACCTTGGAGATCTTCTAGTCCAACCCCTTGCTCAAGCAGGGAAACATCTACCATTTCAGAGAAATGGTTGTCCAATCTCTTCCAGTGTTGGAGCATTTACAATTTCTAGAGGCAATTTATTCCACTGATTAATTGTTCTCACTGTCAGGAAATTTCTCCTTGGTTCTAGGTTGCTTCTCTCCTTGATTAGTTTCCATTTTGTCTTCTTTCCATTTTTGGGCGTGTATGTAACAACCATAAACAATTTCTATATTTCACAGCAATTTGATTAATAAAAGACCAACGTCCTCTAAAACGCAGCAACTGTAGTTTAGAGAAACATCCTTACCCTCTTACTAACTTTAGCTTAAAGGAACTATAATTTGCCCAGCCATTGTTTCTTTCAACCAGCTTCCTTGTTCTATAATTAAAAGTGACTTGTTTGATGCACAACATTAAACCCTAAGCTACTGTTTCATTTAGAAACCCCTGCGGCTGGATGCAGACATCCTGCTAAGTCAAACAGCCTGTGTACAAGATGTGAATCCATCTGGAAGGAAGGAAGGAAGGAAGGAAGAAAAGGAAAGAAAGAGAAAGAAGGAAAGAAAGAGAGAAAGAAAGGAAGGAAGGAAGGAAGGAAGGAAGGAAGGAAGGACAGACTTGCAGCTAAAACAACATGTGGACATAGGCAGTGTGTAGGCTGGGGGTTGTTTGGCAAGCACCAAATCCAGCTTTTCATCCCCTCCTCTTGGTGCAGTTTAGGAGAAGGGCATCTGAGCATCCATCTACCCTAATAAGAACAAAACCATGTTAAATCTCCTTTATGCGACTAAG